TTCCATTGTGTGAATATACCACAGCTTCTCTAGCCATTCGTTTGTTGATGGGCACTTAGGTTGTTTCCAACTCCTTGCTATTGTGAACAAAGCCACGATAAACATGGGTGTGCATATATCTGCTTGGATGTCAGTTATGGTCTCTTTAGGGTATATTCCCAGTAGTGGCATTGCTGGGTCAAATGGTATCTCTATTTGCAACTTTTTGAGAAAGCGCCACACCACTTTACATGTAGGTATAATCTTATAGAAAATTATTCAAAGTCAGCTGCAGCCATGTATCATCAGGGAACTGACAGAAATTCATGTCAGGTTCAGAGCAGTTAGAAAGCAAGTGATATCACTGCCGATGTCAAAGGGATCTTGACTGAGAGAAGAAAATACCAGAAAAACATTTATTTGTGTTTTCTTGGCTGTGCAAATGATAATAAATTATGGATAATGTTGAGATGGACAGGAATTTCATACAACTGTACTCATGAAAAACATGTACACAGATCAAGAGGCAGTCTTTCGAACAGATCTAGGAAACACTACATGGTTTAAAACTAAGAAGAATGTGTGTCAAGCTGGAATCCTTTCATCATCCAATTTGCATGCTGAGCAAATAAACTAAGAAGCCGGACTACATGAAGAAGAATGTGGCATCAGGATTGAAGGGAGATTTATCAACAACCTGTATCATGCAAATGACACAACCTTGACCAAAAATTACAGTCTTCACAATAAGAACTATACACCTCAACATCAAGAAAACAGAAATCCTCACCCCTGGATCAATAGACAACATCATGAAAGATGGAAGAAAGAAGATAGATACATGATTGAAGTTGTCTATGCTATCAGTTTACTTGGATCCACAATCAAGGTCCAAAAAAAATTTGTTGCTTTAGGCAAATCTGCTATCAAGGACCTCTTTACCATACTAAAAAGCAAGAAAATCCCTTAAAAGATTAAGGTGCACCTGACCCAAGCCACAGTATTTTCAATTGTTTCATACAGATCTAAAAGATAACGAATTAGGAAGAAAAAAGAATCCATACCTTTGAGTTGTGGTGTTGGCAAAGAGTATTGAACGTCCCGTTGACCATAGAAAGAGCAAATATTGACATTGTCAAGGATTTCACTTTACTTGGATCCACAAACTACAGAGAAGCTGCAGTTAAAAAATCAAAAGATGTGCTCTATTGGGTAAATCTGTTGTCAAGGTCATCTTGAACTTGCGAAAGTACAAGGATGTCAGTTTAAAGACTAAGATGGGTCTGAACGGTGGTGGCTGAGTGGTAAGAAGCTGTGTTGCCATTTCAAAGG